TAAAGGTTGGTCTTTATGACTATGCCCTATTGGATGAAACGCATTTGAGGAGGCGGTTACTGGATGGGAACTGTTGGATGTGGTTCTTTGTGGAAAAAACTAGAAAACTTTTGACATCATTGACGTGTGGTTGTCCTTCTTTTTTCTAGGTTCATTTTAATGTTGCCTATCCCATGAGGTCATATTAACCTTTTCTTCATTCTTCCATCCCACTATTTTGCCTCATGAGTGAAAAAAAGAAAACCCTGTGTAAGGTCTGACCAAGTGACTCAAAATCCAAATAGAGCTTCTTTTTTTCTCAGTTGTTCCAATCAAAGTTTACACAGGGCTGAGGACTCTCCCCTCCACAGTGGGGTTGATTTATGAACGTCAAGTAAGCTTTTCACTTTACAAAGAAAATTGTTTTTTGCAATTTAGAGCTGTTTTTTTAGAGCTTAGTGAAGTTTCACTTTGCAAAGGATATCCAGTCACATGCAAAGAAAATGAAAAATAGTATTTTTGCTTGCATATGATTGGCTGATGGAAGTCAGCAGAGCTTCGCCTCATTCACTGAGCTTTAACCCCTTGACGCCGACGTAACACAAATATGCGGCCTCACGGACCTGGGCTTTTTTCCGTGGGGCCGCATATTTGCGTACCTGTCTTTGTGTTGGGAGCGCGCCCCTCAGCGCGCTCCCAGCACCGAGACCGCGGTGTCACTGAGAGCACCGGGTCCCGTTCTAACGATCGGGACCCGGGACTCCCGATCCCGGGTCACATGATCGCTGTGATAGCCTCTGATTGGCTATCACAGTGATCAGTCACTGTGCAGCCCGGCCCCCTTGTTTTTTCTCTCTCTCTCTCTATGAATGGAGAAGAGAGATACATTGTATCTCTCGAACTCCTGTCAGAAAGAAGAAAAAAAAAAGTTTGTAAAAAAAAAAAAAAAGATAAATAAATAAATATTAAAAAAATAAAATAAAAAATAAAAAAAAATACCTAGATCACGGTTTGATCTAGTTCAGTGCCAGGGTTAGTGTTTAGGTCAGGGTCAAGGTCAAAGGTCAGGGTCAAAGGTCAAGGTCAGGATTTAAAAAAAAAATGGTATCAGTGTCAGTTAGTGTTAATGTCAGTGTCAGTTAGTGTTAGTGTGTTTTAGGTAAAAAAAAAAAAAAAAAAGACAAAAACAAAATGCGCACTATGGTTTCTGGGCTGTACTACGGGTACAAACAACAAATAACATACACATATATGGTATCGCTGAGATCGTCAAGAGCTGGAGAATTTATTTTGGGTTGCTCTTTGGTGGTAGGTTATGGTCATAACAAGAAACACATAGCTAAATAAAAAAAAAGTATTTTTTTTACTATTTTTGGCCAGTTTTTCCTTTGATAATAAAAAAAAAATCAGGAGATATCCATTACCATTTACCACCAAATGAAAGCCCAATTTGTCCTGAAAATAACAAGGTATAATCCACCTGGATGTGCAAAGTAGTTGTGATGATATGTACGGTTTTGCTATCACATGTCAACGGTGCAGAATTGTGCTTAGGCCTTTAGATTTGTTTTACCCTTAGGCGTGAAGGGGTTAAGGCAAGTTCTCTTGCAAGTGCAACTACCCTTGCAAAGTGAACAGCCTATTTGTCTTTAGTGAATCAACTTTAATGTAACAGTGCTGGACTGCTCACCCAGCACCAGAACTTGCACATAGAGTGTTACACATGCTCTTCCATATTAGGAAAAAACAGCAGGTATTTTATTTACTCATGGTTGCTAATTTAAGTGGCAGAGAAGAGATGGAGAAGTTAATTAAGTTCTGCTGAAAAAGGGGGTTTAAAGCAAACATGGTTTTGCCCTGCATGGGCAAATCACACGTTTCCTGTAAAGTACTCTTTAATGCCAAAACATTCATTATAATTTAATTTTATACATTTCTTTAGGTATTTGTTGCTACAGAAATACCTTTTGATCTAAAGTATAAAAATGCTATGTTTAGTGCCGTATGTAGGACAGATATTAACTGCTTCCCGATCATCCTATAGCACAGTGATGGCGAACCTTTTTGAGCCCGAGTGCCCAAACTGCAACCCAAAACCAACTTATTTCTTTCAAAGTGCCAACACTGCAATGAAACCTGAATATCCAGCTTTTGGTTTAGAAAAAACAACTCGTACAGTAGTGCAAACTAATTAACAGTACAGGGATGACCAGAGACTGCGGACAGTACAGGGATGACCAGAGACTGCGGACACAGTACAGGGATGACCAGAGACTGCGGACAAAGTACAGGAGATGACCAGAGACTGCAGACACAGTACAGGGATGACCAGAGACTGCGGACACAGTACAGGGATGACCAGAGACTGCGGACAGTACAGGGATGACCAGAGAGACTACAGACACAGTACAGGGATGACCAGAGACTGCGGACACAGTACAGGGATGACCAGAGACTGCGGACACAGTACAGGAGATGACCAGAGACTGCAGACACAGTACAGGGATGACCAGAGACTGCAGACACAGTACAGGGAGGACCAGAGACTGCGGACAGTACAGGGATGACCAGAGACTGCAGACACAGTACAAGGATGACCAGAGACTGCAGACACAGTACAGGGATGACCAGAGACTGCGGACACAGTACAGGGATGACCAGAGACTGCGGACACAGTACAGGGATGACCAGAGACTGCGGACAGTACAGGGATGACCAGAGACTGCGGACAGTACAGGAGATGACCAGAGACTGCGGAAAGCACAGGGATGACCAGAGACTGCGGACAGCACAGGAATGACCAGAGACTGCAGACAGTACAGGGATGACCAGAGACTGCGGACAGTACAGATGACTGCTGACCTTTGGGGAGGGAGGGGGAGCGGGTAGCTGAATTTGACAGGTACCCGCTCTTACTTCCGCAGAGTTTTTTTTTTATCTTACCTGTTCCTTTATCCAGCCGCGCGCTGTCTTCCCGGCTTCTGTAGTGTGGGTGCTCGTCGGACAGCCGGATGCCCAGTGCGCATGCGCGAGAAGCGCTGCGCTTTGTGATTGGTCCGGCGGCTTCTGGGATCTGTCATGTGTCCCAGGTACCGCCTTACCATTCACAAAGAGCACTGCTTCTTGCGCATGCGCACTTGGGACCCGGCTGTCACGCACACTACAGAAGCCGGGAAGACAGCGCGCCGCTGGATAGAGGGACAGGTACGGTCCCACTGCAGAGCTGAGCGGCCGGCCCGGTATTCTGACACGGCGGCGGTGGAAATACCGGACCGGCCGCTCTATATTCGCTCCATAAGACGCACTGACATTTTCCCCCCTTTTTTGGGGGAAAAAAAGTGCGTCTTATGGAGCGAAAAATACGGTATTCTCCTGGCGTGCCCCACAGATAAGGCTCGGTGTGCCGGCTGTGGCACGCGTGCCACGGGTTCGCCATCACTGCTATAGCAGAACAACTGCTACATGGCATCAGGGCTGTGCAAAATCATGTATATATATATATATATATATATGTGATTTTTCACTTCTGGGTAGGGGTGATTTTTATTAGCACTGATCACTGTATTAGTGTCACTGGGGATGTCAGTGGCAGTTAGTCAGTTCCCCCCCGGGTCTGAATGCCCGCTGCAGTCCCGCAGGTCACTGATCGCCGCCATTACTAGTATACAAAAATAAAATTCCAGTATTTATACCGCCATGTGTAGACGTTATAACTTTCACATAAACCAATTAATTTTTTTAGCAAAGACATGTAGCAGAATACATTTTGGCCTAAATGTATGACGAAATTTGATTTTTTAAAATTTTTTTACAGGATATGATTTATAGCAAAAATATAGTTTTTTCAAAATTATTGTGTTTTTTTTTTATTTACGGCACAAAAAAAAAAACGCAGAGGGGATCAAATACCACCAAAAGAAAGCTCTATTTGTGGGAAAAAAGGACATAAATGTAATTTGGGTACAGTGTTGCATGACCACGCAATTGTCAGTTAATGTAATGCAATGCTGTATCGCAAAAAATGGCCTGGTCAGGAAGGGGGGAAATCCTCTGGAGGGCAAGTGGTTAAACCACATTTTTTTTTTGTGCAAAATTACAAATGTTCCCTTCTTCACACTTTTTAATGTTTTTGCATCACTCTTCTTATGAGTATAGAGTATTCTGTTCAAATATAGGTACTCTTACCTCATCAGGAATAATAATTTTTATAACAAAACACATACTGTTTATGACCCAGAGGAATTGCACATAATATTTTTGATTTTATAATTACAGTATATTATTTAAAATGTTATTATTTTTAAATTTACCCTATTAGTGATAAAGATAGTTATTACTGCTATGTGTACTCATTGGGGACATTTCTTCTCGCTTCCTGTTTGGTCACCAAACAGAAAGAAAGAAAAATCTCTCCTATGGGGGCAAACACTGCAATTCAGTCTTAACAGAACCTAAACACCTTCCTTGCTGTATGCAAAAGTTAAAGTAAAAGGTTACATCTCTTTGATCCACCAGAGTCTCCTATGAGAAGCTTCTCCATCAGGCTTGCAATCTTCATAGATCTCAGCAGATCGAGGACAGGTGAATATGAGACTGGGAAGGGAGATTACGAAAGTTAATATAACTATATTAAGTGCAGTTACATTTTAAGCGTTTGAGATATTGGATGTAAATATGCTTCTATGCAGTTTAATTCTTAACCAAAATAATTACTTTGTTTCCCTATGCCTTGCAGAAAACATTAGTGAGACAAATAAATAACACAGCATTGTTTTCTAAATGTAGTAATACAATTCCACTATCACAGAAAACATACTCTGCTATAGAAAAATAATAATTACATTTTATTATAAGTAAGTTACTTAATTCCCTTTCACTTTTGAAAATTTCCTTTAATGAGTTCCATTACAAAAAAGACATGATATTATGTACAAAGAAGTAAACAGTTTATGTAAATTTTAGGCAGGTATTTTTGAATGGTTCAGTCATCTTTTGTGGTTTAATTCATAGTTATAGGCAGTTTACGTCTTTCCATTTTTATCAAGGATACATGAGCCATTATTTTTCTTTAAAGAAGTCGTGCTTCCAGATCTTGTTAAATTATCTGAGCTAATTTTCTCAGTTTCCGTAGGTAGAGATTGCCTTTCTTCATTCTCTGTTTCCCTGTGATAGAAATAATTAAAGTTTGATACAATGACTGGAACTGGGAGAGCAATAGTCAAAACTCCAGCGATAGCACAAAGTGTGCCTACCATTTTCCCTCCCAATGTAATAGGGCACATATCTCCATAACCGACAGTTGTCATAGTCACTACAGCCCACCAGAAACCATCTGGGATGCTGATAAACTGAGAGTTAGGCTCATCAACTTCTGCAAAATATACAGCACTAGAAAACAAAATGACGCCAATAAAGAGAAAGAATATTAACAAGCCAAGCTCTCTCATGCTTGCCTTCAAGGTTTGTCCTAAAATTTGAAGTCCTTTTGAATGCCTTGACAACTTAAAAATTCGAAATACCCTAACAAGCCGCACAATCCTCAAAATAGCTAATGACATGTTTTGCTGTACACTGGGCTCTGTCTGCTTCACCAGTTCAGTGATAAGTGTTACAAAGTAGGGAATGATAGACACAATGTCAATTATGTTCATTATATTCTGGAAAAACTCTGAGGAACTTGGACAGACAGCAAACCTAACCACCAGTTCAAATGAAAACCATATTATGCAAGTGGTCTCTATTAAAAAGAATGGATCTGTAAAGGTGCTCAAGTATGTTGCATTTTCTGAATAATTCCCTGAATTCTTGAAAATGTTAAAATCTTTTTCTTCTCTGAATTCTGGCAAAGTTTCTAAACAGAAGATAAGTATGGAGATGACAATTACCAAAACTGAAAACCAGTGCCATTCCTCTTGCAGCACAAGAACTTTCAGGGTATTCAAAGAGCAACCAGAACTGTTTGTGATAATCATTAGTTGGTAAAGGTATCTCTGGATCCTTTAGAAAACCTTCATCATCTCGAAATTGATCTAAAGCTTCATTTCCAAGCTCATAGAACACAATTTCATCTGCAAACACATCTATTGGAACATTTGCTGGACGTCTTATTTTTCCACCAGATTGGTAATAGTACAGTATTCCATCAAAGCTTGGGCGATTTCTGTCAAAAAAATATTCATTCCTCATAGAATCAAAATAATGAATTCTTTTTTGAGGATCCCCAAGGAGTGTCTCTGGAAACTCATTAAGTGTCTTCAGCTGTGTTTCATATCTTAGTCCAGCTATATTAATGAAAACACGTTGGTTTCCTTCTTCAATTCTCATTTGTTCAGACACCAGATTATCATGACATTCCTTAGAATATCTGGATATATCTCCATCATTTAAACATTCATTCACAAGCTGCTTCCAGTTGGAGTTTTGGTTGGACAAACCTGAACTTTCTTCTTCTGATGTTTTTTTACATAAATCCGTGGTACCATCAGTTCGAGACTCTTCACAACTTATTGGAGCCTTGTGAAGGGATTCCATCTTGTTATCTTGAAACCAAATTTCAAAAGAGTATCATCCTTCAATAAACTAGCCAATTTCAACTTTCTGCAAAAGAAAATTAGTTTAAGCATTTCATAATCTAAAGTGAAATATAAAATGATTTGACTTTAACATTACATTTCAAAAATACATCTTAAACATGCCTTTAATATATATTTCAAAGTGGAATCTAAGCAATGCAATTATGAAGAAAGCTTTGATTCATTTTCAGCTTCCATACTGTTAGTACTGAAACACAACACATACCAGCTGTCTGTTTCCTATACAGCGTTCCTTTCTCTGCCTATTATGAAGCAGGCACCTTATCATATTTGGCAAAGATAAATTTAGCTTTTGACAGTGGGGGAAGTGAGTAAATGGAAAACAGAATGAATATATTTCAAAGAACATATGATATAATATTACACATAACTGATGCATGAAAAATATTAAACACACACATACTCACATGTACTGTTCATGTGCAAAATGGCGGCATGTTCAGTGCTTTTCGTCAATGGATATTGTGAATGAAATATGGATTTTTATATAGTACTGACACTTGGCTAATCACACTGTGCAGTTTATTTACTAAAGCTGGAGAGTGCAAAATCAGGTGCACTTCTGCATAGAAACCAATCAGCTTCCAGGTTTTATTTCCAAAGCTAAATTGAACAAGCTGAGGTCAGAAGCTGATTGGCTACCATGCACAGCTGCACCAAATTCTAAATAAATCCCCCCTGTATGCTTATAAATTTTATGAAAGAATATGTTATCCCCGCATTTTATATTCCTGATATGTGTCTGTTGTACCAAGTTCTTGTGTTATGAAGTATTCTGTTTTCTATGCATTGCTTCCTTTGTGTCAAATACCTTGTGATCCTGCCAGTCCCCCTACTTTCCTATTTCAAACTAACCATGATAGACATAGAAGCATATCATTTCCATCAATGTTCTGGCTTTGCTAGGGGAAAAGCCTGCTTGCCCTCCAATAGCCAAGGCTGCTGACATGCCCTCCTGCACAGCCATTCATTGGGAAGATCAGTGTAATGCTGTTTCTTCAACCCCAGCCACTTATACGGCTAATAACAGAGATTATGTGATCAATTATAAAAAAAAGAACAAATACACAAATGTTTCGCCTTTCATTTCTATTTTAAACTGAATGGGTTTTTCTACAAGGTAAAGGTTCACATATACATTAGGTAGCATTGCTCCATCAGGAAATAAAAACATAAATAATTATAAAGACACATTTAGGTGCCATGTACATGCAATTAATCATTACAGAATTTCACCACAACCAACTGGAGAGCTTAAACCCCACAAAAGCTAATTTATTAAAGCTAGTAAATAAGAGCAGGGACACATTGTTCTGGGAATTTCTACCACGAACAGCCAGATTTATGCACAAATAGTGATCATTGTCTCAAACCATCTAGCTACTTGTACGCTAATGGTTCCTTGGGGTGTATTTTAGGTAGTTCATCTTATTGTGTGTGTTTTTTTTCTGTCTCTTTTTTTCTCTTTTTTATGTATTTGATTATTTGTCTAACATCACTTTAAATGTTTTATTTTTTCGCTGTCTGTTGAAAGAAAAGTCACTGTCTGGTGAAAGAAAAATCAGAATATATAAACGAGGCTAATAAGAGGTAATTTTTGGCACAAGAACAAGTCTATGATAGTTAATATGAATGTTCTTAACTCTTAAGAGACATTTTAATCCTATTGCACTCTGATTTCAGTGAATTTGTTGAAAATGGCAGAAGCATCACCCAAGTTTAACTGAAGCAAAAACTCTCAATTTTACTAATCTCTGTGCTTTATTTGTTGGTAAATTGTTCAACAAAATGAATCTTGTAGGGCCTATTTTACTCTATTAGACATTTTACATGCCACACATAAGTTGAAATTATTAAAAGTGACACACAATACACAAAAGTGATACTCATAGTGAACATGAACAGAAATTCATATTAGAAAGGGTGATGGCACTTGCAGCAACCAGGTAAAATTATACAACTATCTCAATGGGCCGCATTAATTTGAGTCATGGGTTTAGGAACCTGTAAACCCTCCTCTATTATCAATTAATATTCAATTTGAATTTCCAAATTAAAATTATTAGGAAATTGAAAACTATGGAAGGATGTTCACAAAAAGCATATTGGTCAATATCTACAGTTTGCTGTAACAGGAAGATAAAACAGTGCCATGAGCTTAAACCCAAATTCCAGTGATCATAGTTGGTAAGGCAAAATAAAGACATCAGTCCATCCAATTCAACCTGAATGTGTGTGTGACTACTGTTTTCCATATTTCTGTGCATTATGTTCACTAAAAAACACATCTAAAGTTTTTTGAACTTATCTACACTCTCCTCTGACACCACCAACTGTGGAAGGGAGTTACACATTCTTACTGCTCTAACAGTAAAGAACCCCTTAAGCAGTTTAAGATTTAACCATTTCTTGTCCAACTTCATTGTGTGGCAACATGTGTATTTTTTAGGGACCTATGACCAAAATGTTTCCTCCCAATGCTAGACTCACCATTTAAAGATTTGTATAGTGCTATCACATCCCTTCTTAAGCATTGCTTCTCCCGGGAGAATAAATTTAATGTTTGTACTTGTTCCTCATAACTGAGGTCCTCCAGCCCACTTATTACCTATGATGCCCTTCTATGCACTCTCTCCAGTTCAAGCACATCCTTCTTGAGGATTGGTGAGTATAACTGTACAGCATACTCAAGATGTGGCCAAACCAGAGTTTTGTAAAGTGGTAAAATCATAGCTTTATCTCTTGAGTAAATACATGCATGCAAATAGTCTGCTGGCCTTGATTGCTGCAACTTGGCATTGCATGTTATTGCATACTATACTGTATATCAGTACTCTACATTTTGATTAAGACCTAAGAGATAAGCTGATCTTACAAATGGTTTGATCTAACATTGTAATCTTAATTACCTTTTTGCATGTCAGCTTGGAGATTTCTGAAGAACAGAAAAATATACTCCATCTTTATCGTCATCATCCATTCTGGAAAAAAAAAAGAAAGAAAATTACAGCATATAAATAAAAAAAACTATAGCAAGTCATTTAGACTTTTTTCACATTGTCTGCAAGAAAATGAGACTTATTTACAGAGGCAATTTATGTTATGCTTGCCAGCAAAATCAGGATCTCTTGCTTGTACATCTGTGTTTATACAAACAGTATGCAAGGACATGTGTGTTTGAGTAAGTAGAAAATCTCATACACACATGAAATTGCTGAAGTAGCATACATTTTGATACTAGCAGTGCTGGGAACACCTTCATTAAAAAGTATACCCATTAAATGCAGCACTTCTAGTGCCTCAGTAAGACCTTTGGAGAAGCCCCGTGAGTACCTTATACTTTAGACATACACCACTTTAGTGCACACCCTTAAAGTCAACTTACTTGTCCATTTGAGATCTTAGATTTACTTAGCACTGAGTCTGGACTACAGAGAAACATAAAAAAGTGGTGGCAAGTATTCCCTTGAGTCTTGAGTAAATTATACTGCCCTAATAAATGTTTTTTTAAACTTTTAAATTATACATGTTTTTCTATGTTTTTTTAAATTATTATTATTTTTAAAACTATTTCGTCTCAGCGCTGTATAGATCTATGTTTGTCCCAAGCAATGTTTGAATCCACTGAGGGGATCAAGGGCCCTGCTCTTTCGAGCTTATGACTCTACTAGGAGGGAGGGGGGTGGTGTACCTGTGATAGCTGTGGGGGATGGAAGTCTACTAGGAGGTCGGCAGTTAGCAGGGGGTTTAGGCTTCCCTGAAAGATGGGTTTTACTACTTTCCAGTTAGATTATGGGTTTGAACATTGACACCCTCCTACTGGGAGGAGGAGACCAGGGAACTATTGTGAAGTTATTGAATGTAGTTGTTTTGTACCCTCTTGGTTTAATTTGATCCGTTTAAAGGTTTCTGGCAGCCGTTTTGACTAAATAGCCAGCGGCATCCAGTTGCAGTAGTCGAGACTGTGTTTAAGTGGTTTCCTGGGGGTTTAGGAACGTGCGGATTTTGGCGATTAATGACTCACTACCTGTGCTGGAAGTCTAGTTCACTTTCCAAGATTAGGTTTGAACATTCCTCCTACTAATTTGAAGTTATGAAATCTTTATCAGGTTTCAGTTGTATCCAGACTGTACATATTTTTGAAGTTCATTCTATCTTAGCAATATATTTTTGTAAGCGAGATCTGATGACCTTCTTGAGGCTGGTGACCCCTCTTGTGATGCATCCTAAATTTCTATCTGCTTCCCCAACTGCTTGGTCACACTTTTTGCTCATTTTGCAATAATCTGAAATAAGGAATCCCAAACTTTTTCCTCTGTAGTGCTTGAACTGTAGAAGCATTGAACTGGAATTTCCACTACTTTGACCAATCTTCCAGC